GCCTGGTTAAAACCAGACCATTCTCAGTTGTAACTGAGTTATGGTCTGGCAAAGCGTCATAGACAAATCATTTCCAGAGGGGCGTCACCAACGGACGTCGCGGATAGACCTAAAATCAATCAGAGCGATGAAGGAGATGACGTATGCAGAGCGGCGGAGAAACATCTCCGAGTGTTGTTCTTTGCTCGGTTTTTAACAAAAAGCAAATCGCTTAAAACAGACGCGATAGCCGATTCGAATGAGTGATGTTCGACGGAGCATTCCATCTTTGTAATGTAGGCTACAAAATCTGCTTCAAAATCCCAGCGCTGTCGTCATCGTGTAAAGCCCGCCCCAACGTTTCTGATTGGTGCCTCGATTTCGGCGGATTGGAAATGAGTTTGAATGAGCTCTTTGCCAGACTAACTTTCAGAGCAAATCTAAATTTGCCGGAAGTTGTCTGGGTTTTCCCAGGCTAGATATTTAGGGGCCGTTTACACAAAAGATTTTCCGGTGTCATGCGTTTTGGCTGTTCTTTTACCCAACAATGGCGTTTTGGGGGCCTGAAAATGCAAACTTTTGAAACCGTTACCATTAGCGTCTCCGTGTAAACTACAAAAAGCTAATTGACCCTTCGCTAAGCCCCGCCCTCCTTAGTTACTGTTGCTACGCCTGTCAAGCTTTCGCGGCTGCCACGTCTATTACAGTGTGAATGCACCGGTGTCAGACATTCCCAAGGAGATAATTAGTCATTTTTGGCGAACAGGTGAAATATCTGAGAAAGCAAGACAAAAGGGACAGCAGTATGCATTAGAGGGATATATCCACGACATAATTTGCAACCGATTAGAGAATAATTTCATCAAAATTGAAGCTAAAGCCTATAACGTTAGGTCCCAGCGCAAGCAGCAGCCGTCTCCTTAGCAGACCATTCACATGGGAAACACAAATTGAACAGCTATGTTCAACCACAGCAGAGTAAGTGAAATGTGAAAATAATCTAATAATTACAAATCAAACAGCTTATCCATCAATCTAACACCGGGAGAGCCGCGGTCGGATTTGGGTAAAGTTACAGGGGTAACGTTAGTAGGCCGTCGATTAACAAAATGCTGAAATATATTTTAAAGTATGTCAGTGAGCCTCCGTCTTGCCTTTAATAGTCTTATTTTACGTTCAAATATATGCATTATGAACAAAGAACCGCCATTATTTCCAAGCAATAGTTTTTTTTGTTTTGTTAATCCTGTCGACATTTAGTTGTGAGTGGGTCTCCACACTGCTTGATCCACGACCGGGATTTCTCCCCTTTGGCTTTTAGGTTTCGGGAAGGGAAAAAATGCCACCCCACCGTCCAAACTTTTAGGATACCGGGTATCAGATTTGCACAATCCATACGCACACAATGCGTCGGCATGTTTCCCTCGCTCGAAAGCTTAACAGACCTCCCGCCACAAATTACGGTTCCTAAGCCACGATTGGCCAGTGGCAGTTTTCGGGCGTGGCTTAGCGAAGGGTCAATTGTGAAAACGGTGGCGTCTGTAGTAATTCAGTGCACATTTCCTTTCATGAAAAATAACTGAACTCATTTCTTCATACAAACATTTCTTCAAAAATATTTACGTTTCTTCATGAATGCAATCCTCGTAACCTCTAAATGCTGTCTCGTCAGGCTGGCAACCATTGTTGGTTGTGTGGGAAGAACTGCAATAGTGATAAGCAGTGGCAGCAGCACATCACCTCCGAGAAGCACAAAGAGCGAGTGTTCAACTCCGAGGACGATCAGAACTGCTGGCAGTATCGCTTCCCCACGGGCACCTTCAAAGTTTGCGAGCGGTGAGCCTAACGCTAATGTGTAACGCCACTCAGATCACGGTAACAGTCAACTGTTGTCCCTAACGGATTGGCTTCCATCCCTCCAGGTTCCTCAAGGGCACCTGCACAGAGGAAGAGCTTTGTAAACTGGCACATGGAGACGAGGAGCTGAAGGAATGGATGGACAGAAGAGAATTCCTTTTGATGAAACTCGCCAAAGCCAGAAAAGATCACTTGATAGCACCAAATGATAATGACTTTGGCAAATATAGTTTTCTGCTTAAAGATATTAAGTAATGTTTCAATGAGTCTGAATCTGTTGATGCCGGGTGTTCTGGAACTATGATGTCTTGAGTTCAGTATTGAATCAGGCGAGTCCGTGGAGAGGGAGGACATCCTCCTTCTGGGTTTTCACGGAAAGCACAGAGCTGGCCTTGTGTTCTGAGTAATCACGGCTTTGTTGCTTTTATCACCGGTTAAAAGTAAACGCACCATCGCCTTTTTTATGTTTCTCTTATTAAATAGCACACAGCGGATCACCTTTCAGGAACTGGATTTTGTTAATAAAACCCAAAGCAGAAGTGCAGTATTAGGCATGGCATACAGTGAGAGAAGCCCTCTGAGAATCCCTTTGAATGTTTCTGTGGCAAATTCCCGCCTTTTTTATTATTTGTTTTGGAGTGTTCGGTCCTGTATCTCTGTTATTCTACATCCGCACCAAATTGCTGTGTTGTCTGCTTGCTGTGTTAATGCCTGTTGGTATTATATGGACCGACATAAACACAATAAAGTCTTCATCGTTTCGGCGTCCGTAGTTCCTGAAAGCAAAACGGAGAGGGAAGTCGCACCACATCAGTGTATTATTAATAATCGAAAAGGGGAAGGACTGTACGTGAGTTAGGGCAGTGTCAAGACATGTTTTAGCCACTAGGGGGAGATCATGGATAGGCAAGATCCTGCCAGTTGCACCTGACGGGTTATGAGGAGGTTGGATCTGCTGTGTATTTTTGTAATAATTATTTCATTTTACTTGAATTTAACTGCTTGCTTTTGTGCTAATGAAACTGCTATATGCTAGTGAACTTTTTCAAATTTATTAATACTTTGATTCTGCTAGGACGCATTAATTTGTTATAATGTGACATTACAATGTTACAAAAGATCCCTATTTCGAATAAATGCTGTTCTTTTGAAGAATCCTGAAAAACAGTTCTTGAGGTTTCCGTGTTATTAAGCATTACAACTAGTTATTAATGTTTCTTGAGCAGCTAATCATCTGAAGGATCATGTGACACTGAAGACTGGAGTAATGATTCTGTAAATTCAGCTTTGCATCACAGGAATATATGGACAGAATAAATGATAAAAAAAATCCATCACAAATACAATACGTTTTAACACTATATTCAAATGGAACAGTTGTTTTTAATCACTGTAAACCCTAACGCTCAAAATAATTAATTGGTTTGAGTAGAGTCAACTCAAATTATACAAATTAGTTCATTCAAATTAACTTTTATGAGCATTTAGAAATTTCTTTTTCTTTTGAGTTCACAAAACTGACACATTTTAAGTAAGTTAAGTTTTATGAACGTGTTTTAAGAGCAATTAAAATGTATGAGTACAAAATAAAAATATGCAAGTTCTGCTATACTTAAGTTAGAGTAGAATAACTAAATTATTCGGGTTTACAGTGTTGTAATAACTTGACGTTACTGTTTTACTGTATTCTAGATTAACTAAGCCGTGGTGAGCAGAAAAGACTTCTTTTAAAAATAGTTTTTAAAAAAGAATGGGGTCAAGATATTTTAAATATTTGTCTTTTCAGATAAAACTGAGCTGAGAGTAAAAACTATTTGTCAACTAAATTCAGACAATGAATAGAGTATACTAATGCACACTGTCATAGAGATGTGTGGTATTTCTTTCCAGTTCTGGGCTGAAATGCGGTTTGCCTTCAGCTGATGCATGTGAACTTTCATCTGTCTTGTATTGTTATCCTAGTAGCAAGTGATTTCAGTAAATTACTGGTCCTCTTAATCTTTGAACATGCATATTATATCATACATCTTTAGTCACTGATCTTTGTGGTAAATCTGATCATTATGAAGTATATCCAGTTTTACAAACTTCGCATTGGGTCTAAATGGATGCATGAGGCAGGTCATTTTTGCATCAAAACAGGAAGTGTTTCCAACACAGACCAGTATGACTAATATATAAAATTAAAACAAGGGAAATTAACTTTCCATTTTAAAAGAAAACCACCCATAAATGCTCATCGCACATGCAAAATATCACAAGAGAAAATATTTACATTTAAAACAAACACACAAAAGTCACGAGCAGACATTTCCCCAGTAACAGGTGGTTTATTGTTCAGTACAACACTGGACAGACACACAGGCTGGAGTGACATTAGCAATATACTAAGCGATTTACTGAGAAAAAGTAGCTTATTTTTCTCAAATTAAATGAACATGCATGTACTGTCCTTGTTTTTTCTGTATATTGAACAGCACATAATGCAGAAGAAAATCTGTCGACTTAAAATGTGTGACAGAACCCTAACGATTTGATATTAGTAACCAACTAAATCATACTAGCTGCTTTTTCAGGCTTCATCTGTCTTTTAAATGCCTGACTGACATTTGCATGAATTGTATAAAAATAAATCATTTGTCTCGCTTTGATCTTACATGTACAAACAGCAAACATGACGTTATCACAAACATATTTGGAATTAAATAATACTGTGAAGAAACAGGTTAAAAACTCAAGACAATGACTTTTCAGTATCCAGCCATCTATAAAAATTATATTTACACTTTCAAATGACCCTTTCGCTATGTAGAAATGTGCTCAACCACACACACAAAAAAACGAACGCCTCTGGGGCCACGACAGTATTCAACAAGAATAAAAAGACCTCAGTCATTGGCTTTTCGTTCTTTTAGTGGTTTCCTAGAAGTTTTAGACCGGAACCAGCTGATATAAAATCACATGAAAGATAAAAAGAGCTAATGAAATCATGATCCTAAACATGACAGAATATAATGTAAGAGCTTTCAAAAGTCAATTTACATAATTTGGCAAGTCATGGTATCCTGAAGTGCTTATTTGTAATGAAAAACGACATTCCTTTTTTTTTAAATTGCAATTCAATAAAGCATTTCTAATGGAATTCTAAAATATTCACACACACACAAAAAAAACATTTAAAGCTTAGACATCAGTCCATTGAAATGTGTTGAATTTCCTAATACCAGAGCCAGCTCTGGATGAAATGGTACAGTAAAAAATACAACTAAAGAAAACGAATGAATCTTGATTTAGCTTCAGAACTCGGCTCCAGCTTCACAAATAAACAGCATTGCACAAAACGCTTGCAGTCGTTGATTTCACATTATAACAGGGCTCTACCACCACAAAATGGGCGAACAAATCAACAGTCAAAGCAACTAGACAACTGCATGCACTAGGTTTGCCTTCGTTTATCAGCTTGTTTTAAACAGAGTGGTTTCATGTGTTATTGAGTGATTTTGTAAGGGTTGAAATTCTTCGAGACTGACAGAGTCTAAAAACTGGACCCACTACATAGTATGCATTGCGAAGGCAGATGAGGGGAACTAGGTGTGGCTCTCGGCCCCATTAGGAGTGAGCTTGGTCTTGTGCTCCACCCGCGGACCTCTGGCCGAATACTGGACCAGCAGGAAGGGCTCCTTGGTTTCCCCTTCTCCGACGATGCTTTCCTCATCTTCAGACTGACCGATGCGCTGCAGCCGCAAGTAGCACCAACAGCCAAGAATTAAAGCCCCCAGTGCGGCGACGGCGATGAGTATTACAATAATGGTGACGACCCCAGTGGTGGGGCTATGATCCATAATAGACATCCTGTCAGTTGAGGCCTTCACAAGTCCACCAGAGGCAGTTCTTCAGGGTTTGTGTAGGTTTGGCTGGTCGCTCCTCCTACATCTGAAAGACAAAAGATGACTGACAAACTCAGGTTGATTCTACGCTGTAAAAAAAAAAACAATGTAATTTTTGCTGTAAAAGACTAAAAGTGCTACAGTAAAAACCTGGTTGACGGTAAGTTCCCTTACTACATTCGGGGCAAAACTATTATATCTAACCTTACTGTTCATTTAATTTCACAGTAAAATACTGTTAAATGCGCCATTTTTGAGAAGGGTAGAGCTGCAGCCTGGAGATCTCCAAATCTCCAGTAGTGTCATCTTCCTATTTCTTCGTCAGATCTTCTCATTTTGGAGATCTCGGGTCTGCAGCTATACCTACTTGCCATTTTTGGAAGTAAAAAAAAATAACAAATCATCTTATTATTTGCAGTGAAAAGCCGTAAACTGACATTTCCAGAATTCCCTGTGTGACACTTTACATTTGGTGGTTTGTAAAAAATAATAATGTTAATAATTATAATAATGTTTCTTTTAAATCAATTATCTAAATTATGGGTTTGTTACATGTTATGTTGTTAAATGGATGTTTATTGCATTATTTTAGAGTCATTTACCATGGTGGTGTTTTGTATGTCGGGGCTATACATGACAAGACAATGAGCAGCTTCCGTAATTAAGTGTGTATCATAGCTTGCGATTAAAGGTATACAACAGATTTTAACCTTAATTCAGCAAAAAAAGAGCTGTAAGATTTTCCAGTCAAAATATGTAATCTTTTGTTTTAAATGATAAAATGTACAGACTGTTCTGTAAATGTGTTTACATGCTGTATTTTTACAGAAACATTCCGGAAACCGCAGCTGATCTGCCAGTTTTGTTTTTTTAGTGTACAATAATTCGGAGAAACTTCCTGAAAATGTTCTGCTTCTTGAGAAATGCGACAAACATTTCATTTTTCAACTTTACCTGCGTCACAGGTCATTAAACGCCATGGTTCCTTAAAGCCACAGGTTATGCAACGCATTTGCTACGAGCATCTTGGCGAAGACTTTCCATTTTGCCCACGAGCCAGTGTTAAATGCGCTCGGGCTTGAATTAATAAGTGGCACGAGGCCTTTCCGGTGTCACTAACTGAAGCACCGTACAACATTCATGCAGCACAGAGCTATAGTATCAACAAAAACGACAGCTGCAAATATCGCTGCCGCCGTTGTTATATATTTTTTTGGCCAAAAAAAATGCTTTTGAACGAAAAAAATTGACATTTGCCACAAAACAGCGATTTTATGCGATCTAAACAAGCCACCACGTAATGCACAGCTTTTATCGAGTACGATTAGCGACATAAAAAGAAGAACAGAAGGTAATTTAAAGTCAAGCTTACCTAAACTAGGCCGTTTTTTATCAAAAAATATCAATTATGTGCGTTTTGCGAACCATTTCGTGCAATCACGATAGTTCACGCTCGCGCGCGCTAGCTGCATAAAGTGATCCGCGTCCAGTGATCCAGATGTTATATTATATACACAGCAGCAACATCTAAAACCAGTCGCTTACATCTCCAGTCAGAGCAGATAAATAAATAAATGCACACAGCTTGTCACTGTGCACTGCAGGAAATGAGATCACGGCTGCAAAAAGTCAAATATCCAATCAAGTCAAAGGAATGGTGCTCAGAAGGACATCATATGGGGGTGATATTCGTTTTGCATTCAAATGGAAAGAGACTAACTGACTAATGTATTTATGTATTTGTGAACATGAAACACTGCATCTTTCTATGCCTTTCCACCTACAGACATGCGCTATATAAATGTTTTGGACATATACTCTCTTCTGCAGGAGGGTCATTTTCACAGAATAACGTGCACTATCTCTCGAAGTCCTTTGGGTGAGAAAGATAAAAATAGAAAAAGCAAAACACAACATATAGCCTACCAGAGATACCATAATGTAAAAAATTAAATAAAATAGTGCTGTCAAATGGATTAATCGTGATTAATCACATCTAACATAAAAGTTATTGTATATGTGTGGTGTGTATACACAGACACATTTATTTATATAATATATGGGTGTTTACACACACATATGCATATAAATAAAAGTTTTAGTGTTTATATATATAAAATATTATATATATATATATATATATATATATAACTAAAACGTTTATGTTAGATTTGACTGTACTAAAAATATTTAAATAAAATAAATTGTATACTTACATAGGCTATAATTAAATGCAGAATGTTTTACTTTTTTAATTCCGTGTCATTCAAAGGATGTACTTTTTATATATTTTTATCAATATGTACTACCGACACAGTTTCATACATATATATTCATGCAAATAAATATGTAAATAGATAAATAGAAATAATGGAAACAATGCTAGCCAAACCAAAATCTATGTCTTTCTTAGGCATTTAACCAAGTCGAGTAGCTCCTATACCCCCCCCCCCCCCTCCTCCTCCTCCTCCTCCTCCTCCTCCCCCCCCCCCCCCCTCCTCTCCACCCTCCCCTCCCCTCCTACTAAATAAAGTAGTTAGTACTGAACCGAGTTAACACAGATGGTTAACACCTTTTTACAGTCTATGGTTAACACTAACAAACAGTCTCACGAGGGACGCGCTGCCTGTAACTCATGTGACCAAATACGGAACTTGAGGGAACGTCGAAACATCTCATTTTTGTAAAAATCCTCAGTTGCTATGTTCTTTTTACCTACTATATGTATAGATATTGACTTCGCATAACAAATCGACCCTTTTCCAGTTTTAGTCTGATCTTGAACAGAGCTCAGCCCACTCATCTGTATTGCGGAAATACACCAAGTAGGCTATAGCCAGCCTACGTAACAGAACTAACAAACAGGAAACGTTTTCCTTATCGCTCACGAGTCTGTTCACAAGAAAACGAAACAAACAGTAAGACGTGTATTCCTTTCAAGTAAGTGTTTCTATCTTCTGAACGATCGTCACGTTAACGTTTTGATGTTACAACTCTCACAACTTTATTGCTATTTGTAGCTTAGTTTTTTTAGATTAGCCTACATGTATTCTCAGAAAAGTGAAGCTTGCGCTGATCCGTCAGGAATTATGCAATGCTCCGAGTCCGAATAGCGTGACATTACAATAACCACTGTTCTTATATTTACTAAAAAGCTTTTGTTGATTTGAATTTTTAAGCAGCAGTCGAGGCGATGGCTAGCGCACCCCCACTGGAGACAGGAACACTTGTGGGATACCCGCCTCCTCCATCATATGATGAGGCATTGGGATCAAACCCAATGTACCCAGAAGGGCCATATGCTCCTCCAGCTGACATGAAGGCACCTGTGCCTCCATATCCACCACAAGCCTATGGCCAGATGTATCCAACACCACCCCAACAAGGTCAACCTGTCACCACCCCTGTTGGTAATGGCCTTCACTCTTTTTTCCCCCACCATGATTTAATCTGACCACACATTTTTAAACTCAGGTTGTATACATCACTCAGAAGGTAAGAATATAATTGCCTTAAGACAGATCTATCTTGGTTGACTTCTGCTGTTGATGAACCACATAAACCGACTTGGACCAGCTAAAAACAGAAGCTGGTTGTATCTGGATTTTCCAATTAAACACTTTCATATTTAGGATTTTTTTTTTTTGCTATTAGCATCTAGTTCAGGGTATTCCAGAACACTTCCAGGTTGTGTGGTTTACCCGTGTAAGTTTACTCAGAAGCCGATAACCTCAACTTATGGTTCCAAAACCTGAGGTAACTTTTAGGGTATTTAAGTTGCCAAAGCAACTTATTTTCTTACTTGCGTATTTGCTCCAGAGCAAGTTATGTTCCAGGGTTAGTTTACTTCAGAGGTATTCAGTGAATGCGTGCCCTATTGATGAGGCTCCAGTGGGCGTGACAGATTTAGCAGATTCATGTTTTCAGGCCATTTCAAGTTTGATTTTTATTTCTAAGTGGCTTTGTTAACTTACTTTTTAATTAGTCTTCCCATTTAACGGCATCATTTTGTTCATTTAGACAGATTCATGAACACGCAGGAAAACAAGAGGCGGGATTTATCGCACAAACCAATCATATCCAACGATAACAATTCTCAATTAAATTGATATTTTTCATTATTTAAAATCTTTATTTTTTCAATAGGACAAATAGCTTTCATTAAACATTTTCCTAACAAACAGAGTTAAGACCAATAAAAACACACATACATCGGCTGCATCCGAAAGCTTAGGCAGTGACTTGTTGCCTTGATCGCTGCCCTATCCGGAACTGACTTTACAGGCAGTGCTTGCGCACGAAAGCACCTCAAGAAACTGATTTCGGACAGACTTCTGAGGCAGGGTGACAGTTTAAAGGGATACTTCACCTCTGGAAAGATGAATGTGTATTTAAAATGGGTCATTTATGTAGAAGAAATGTGAAATTATGTTTGAATTTGGAGCTTTCTAGACTGAGAAAAGCCAGAAAATGTATTTTTGGCTTATGTGGATGAAAGACAACTCCCAGAATGCACTTGCTTTCCTGCCCTAGGAGGCCACGCCTACCGGTAACAGAGCGCAGTAGTTAAACAACAAGTCTAGGCTACACTGTAAAAAATATTTTAGCAATTTAGTTATTTCAACTTATTTTTTTGTGTAGAGATAACTAGATTGTCTAGACAACAAGAAATTTTAAGTTTTCTTGTCCTCAACTTATCGAAATAAGTTAGTTAAACTAAAAAAAAAAAAACATGCAAAAAAGATAACACAAAATAATGAGTTAAGTTTTTTTACAGTGTACTAGTGAGTCTCCGTGATGAGTCTGCCCGGGATTTCGAGATCGCCCAAAATGCCCGGGATTCGGCTTTTGCGTTCTACAGTCGCCATTCATTGTGTTTACTGTGGCGAGGAGGACGAGGGCCGCGGGAGAACGGCGCGAGGCCGGTGGCGTGATAAGTGATTACTGATGAGCGACACCTGTGAGACGCACCGGTCTCGTATCTTTCACGGAGGAGCGGGAATTTTCTTAGCAATGTTAAAACGCACATCAACCGATCACTTGTTTAGCGTTCATGTAAACACTACATTCAGATTCACCAATCGGAACGAATTCAGTTAGATTGAAACAAAAGGTGTGCATGAAAACAATGAATGTTGACTGCAGAAAGCAAAAGCTGAATCCCGGACATCGACGGCCGGACATGTCCGGGAAAAAGAGGATGGTAACCCCTACTGCTCAGCTTTCTCCACAGAACAAGAGCCTGCTAGCTTAGCTTCCAAAAAAAGATGTCTGACACTATGTGTACATGTGAGTGAGATCCCACCCTCTATGGGCGGGTTGAGAACATGCGGGACAGCCCCTACTACTGACTGTAGTCTTTAGCCTCCGGCCAAAGAATCCTCCGATGACGCAAAATGACGATTTTTGTGTCATCGGAGGATTTTTTCCAGACAAAAAATACATAAATCTCTCGTCTCAGGGGGATATGAGGGTGGAAAGCACGGTAATTTGAAAATACTACAGCTTTTCTACTAATACAAAGCTTAATGCTAAATCCTGAAGTATCCCTTTAATGATCTACAACTAAACAGAGCTTTGGTGAAAACTAAGTGAATATTTAATTTCTACTACGGTAGTAATTTCTAGCTAGAAATAACATCAGAAGTGGAAAAAGTTTACACGAACTGACCACCAACTTTCAGAGTTAGCTGAACTGTCACAGAATGTAAAGCACAGTATTGTGGGAGATCATAGGGAGCAAAGGATACATCTATGCTTCCTTCAAAAATCGATCAGATGAAGGGATCTCAGGAGACAGGAAGTGAAGCTAACACTGGATTCGGCCCTACCTTGGAACGCGTCCTCTGACGGCAGCATTTTTCTGCTTTTGGACGCAGCCATGATCAATACCCGAGGCATTTTCACTTTTTCATTCTCTCACACTGTTCCCAGTACATCTATTTTTTAGTAAGCCCCTGATATTTGAACTGTTAATGTGTAAGAAAAATTTCACTTTGAATAATAATAAACATACACAGCATTTCTAAGCATTCTTCTTGTTGTCCTTTTAGTATCGGTTCAGACAGTGTACGTTCAGCCTGGTCTGATTTTCGGGGATGTTCCAGTGCAGGCACACTGTCCAGTATGCCAACAGAATGTGATAACCCGTTTGGAGCATACATCAGGAGCATTAGTCTGGCTCTCTTGTGCGGGCCTGGCCATTTTTGGGTAAGATAAAGCATTGCACGATATCCAGTTTTGGTCTTTAGCACATGGACATTCCCCTGATTGTTCTGTCTCGTGTCTCTTGTGTTGTAGATGCATCTACGGCTGCTGCCTGATTCCCTTTTGTGTAGACAACCTGAAGGATGTGACACACTACTGTCCGAGCTGCAGCAGTGTTTTAGGATCCCACAGGAGACTCTGAAGCAGTCGTGAAACACACCTACTGTGCATTTATGGAGGAAAAAAGGTTACAGTGAATCAATTCTTTAGAAAGAGGCGTTTCAGTGCCAGGGCCGCCGACACAGACATGCATTTAAACATATATACGCACACCTTAACGTACTCGTCTTTTCTTTGTAAACTGATTTAATTGAATCTTTTTTTACAATTATATTACTGTCACAATTGTAAAGAAATCTCTGTAACAGTGTATGTGATTTGTGCATAATTACAGTGCAACTAATATGCACAGTTAATCAAACTGACATGTAGAAAAATATCATGTATATAAATAAATAAATGTCTATGCTTTCTCACTTAAAGCGTCTTGTAACGTATCTTTGTTAGCTCAGTTTGCTTAGCAAATACTGTGAGAGCACAGAGCCGCACAAAGAAAACACATTAGTGAAACAAAAGATTTAGGGCAAAATCTGCTGGAGATCTTCTACTTCATAGATCCAGTTTTTCCTGTGAATCAATGCATTTTCAGAAAGATCTGCCATCTTCACAGCACGCAACACTGGCTCTGGATTGTGAGACTGGATGACACCCATAACCATGACGTATTTACCTGTGGACAAAAACAATCTATTGGTTTTCATTGGAAAGATAGTCTGAGAACACTGCAAATGCAAAAATAAAAATACCTCAATGGTGAAAAGGTCTTCTCTGTGGCGTGTTCACTGACGTAACTCAATTAATATTCACGAGTCATACAGGACATGTAAATTCGCACAAAGTAACACTAACAGTATTGTTGTGGTCCAAATGACTTACTATACACTATGCACTATGAACCCATTCGTGTAGTGTATGATTTGTATACGGTTGTTTTGTTCTTGGAGTCTATTGGCCTCGCACTGTCTCGGTCGTAGGAAGTCTGTGACATGAAGTGTCCAATGAAGTGCACTTTTTCTTTTTGGAATTTTCAGTGTGAAAACAAAACTACAAAAGGGCATAGAATAGTGTATAAGAATGCAAATTGGGAAGCTCCTTATATTTTATATTCACTTTATATATGCACAGTACCAGTCAAAAGTTTGGAAACATTACTATTTTTAAATGTTTTTGATAGAAGTCTCTTATACTCATCAAGCCTGTATTTAATTGATCAAAAATACACACAAAAAAACAGTAATATTATGAAATATTATTACAATATAATAATGATTTTCTATTTTAATATACTGAATTAAAATATAATTTATTTCTGTGATGCAAAGATGAATTTTCAGCATCATTACATAGTATCACATGATCCTTCAGAAATCATTCTAATATATTCTGATTTATTATCAACGTTGGAAACAGTTGTGCTGGCTGCAATTAATTTGTATATAGCCTGTGATACTTTGTTTCAGGATTCTTTGATGAATAAAAAGTCAAAAGTATTTTATAACAATATGCACTATCATGCAAACGTTTTGGGAGAGTCTTTTTTTTTATTTATTTTTTTATAAATAAATACTTTTATGTAGCAAGGATGTGTTTAAATTGATAAAACGTGACAGTAAAGACATGTTGTTAATTAATATTATCATTTAGTTAGACTTTTTTCTGATATTCATCTTTTCACTGGCTCAGTAGAAGTTTTTTTTAGAAGCTGTCTTACAAACATTTGAAAAGCGACTAACCAGGACTCAGGCAGGGTTTTCCTCTCGGCACGCTGTTGATGCCGCTGACGAGGAAGTTTCCGGTCTCGTCCAGAATGAGCACTGTGTTGTGATCGGGCTGCACCTCCACCACTGTCCCCTGCATCCAGACCATTGACACCTGTAACGAGCTCTGCTCACCCGCTCCCAGTCGTCTAATAACATACTCTGACCTCCCGCTGGGTGTGTGGCAGTCTTTCCCATCACGCAGCTGGCTGGATAACACTTTCACTGGAGGACTTCGAGTTTTCTCTGCACAGAAAACGCTTGCTCCCGTCATATTTTATCCTTGCTGCTGAATGCTGGTGAATACATAGCGCGCTATTTTTTTTTTTTCTCAAATGAACCGGACGTGACGACTTTATTTCAAAATAAAGGCTCAGAATATTCAGTAGAATAAGTTATCTCAAAATGTAACAAAAACATTATTACTATGTATTGATGTTACTATGTATGTAACGGAACATTGATGACGTATTATATTGCTGGGTAGATTACTGCTTCCAAATTACATAATTATTTGAGTAAGTAACTTAGTCCATTACATATTACATTTACCCCCGGTTTCACAGACAAGGCTGTTATAGGACTAGTCCCAGACAACTCGCATGTTAGAGTTGTTTTAACTGAAAGTAACTTGCACTGACATATCTTAAAATATGTCAGTGCCATTGTTTTGTCTCAAAATGCACACAGTAATGTTTTTTAAAGCACGCTTACGTCCCAATTGAACTAAAACCTAATCCTGGTTTAATCTAAGACCTGTCTGTGAAACCAGACTTTAAAGTAATATAATCTGACTACTTTTTGATTACGTTGACCTCGTTTATCAAATTGATTTGAATTGGATAATCGTGTACCATATTTAAAATTAAAAGAGAAGAAAATATACTCCATTATCAACAACATGAAGAAGCGCATTAAATTTTATGGAACTGCAGGCGGTTCGTGCAGTTTAATGAAAAGCTATTAATTAAATAATAATAATAATTACATAAAAATAATAATAATTTGAAATACTTTATGTTTACTTGCATGTCATATGTCCATTAAGTGACATCACAGAACTGTGAACTTAATTTTATTATTATTTATTATTGATCTAACCTTTTACCTTAAAATCTCAGGGAGTACTTCAAGTACAAATATTAGGTCAAAGAGGTTCAGATGACAAAACAAGTTGAGGTATCCCTGCATTGCATGTAAATATGAAATGGCGTGAATTTGTACATTTTAGTGTGTTTTAAAGACAATAGCCTTTCAAAGACTGTAATACGTAGTTAAATGACTCACTGAGTGATAATTCATATAAGAATTAATGTGTTCCAGTGATCACATACTGTGTGGATCTCAGTTTTCATTGATCAGCATGACTTGTGGCTGGGTCTGTATGTGCGATTCCACAAACCTGGAGAACCTTCTGAACTTACAGTATATAAGCAGTGGGCTTTATATGAATATTATGGCAGTAAATGATGACAAATTGACTGCTTTGTGAGAATAGCGTGATCATGCAATCAATAAAAAGGTTACTGTAGAATAGATTACTTTAGGTTTCTTTATATAATCTATACTTAACTTAATTTTTGGAACCTTCATGTAAACAGTTAATACTTAGTCAGCAATGTGTGTGTGTAATTATACGTGTGTAAGTATCTTTATTCCTAACTTCAAAATCAAGATGAGCTTAATATATATATATATATATATATATATATATATATATATTAAGCTCATCTTGATTTTAAAGTTAGGAATAAATATACTTATAGCAACCTATACATTCTGATTAATTTGGTTCTTTACAATCTTCGGTAAAAACTTGCGAAGAAAGAATAAAACCGAATAGCTGTAATTTTGTTCATCATAGAGTACCATTTATTAATTTCAGTATGATTACATTTGACATTATCATAAATAAATAGGCACCAGTCATAGAACATTACATTTTTTTGTGATGTTAAAGCAAAGAAAAGGCATTCATATAACGATTCTAAATATTTGAAGCACCTAAATACAGAAGCTTTATTGTGTAAGACAGTTGTACAAGTATTTCAATCAAAATGTTGTATATCCTTTGCTTGGACTATTGGTAAAACATTAATCTTTCCATATATGTCAATTACAATATATATAGGACAATTATGAATAGGATGAATTATAGAATAAGACAAATGACAAACCAAAAAAAATTGTGATTTTAAACAGATTAAGTAGACTAGATTGTAATAATATATTTATATATTAAGTCCACAGGAGAGTCTCATAGTTGCATTATATGGTCAAATTAATGTGTGGCTGATTTGGGGTCAGTGTATAATCTCCACTTTGATGATGGTAAAAATGAGTACAAGTATGCTGAGTGAAACTGACCATCCACTGCGTCCAATTCCTTGAAAAACAACAACAAGAAGTTATGATTTCTAATAGGCTTCAGCATTTTAAAACTTGTCGGGTTAGTTCAGTCAAAAAAAGGAAATTCTGTGTCACCCTCACCCTAATGTGATTCCAAAACAATAAGATTTATGTTCATCTTCGGAACACAAATGTAGATCTTTTAATGAAATCTGAGAGATTTCTGTCGCTCCACTGAAAGTCTAATCACCCTAAACTCTGATGCTTCAAAACGTTCATTAAGGCATCTTTATATCTTGAACAGATTTAATTTAGGCTTTTCGTTCACGTATAAACATTTCTGTCAGGAGGGACAGAAATCTCTCAGATTTCATAAAAATATCTTAGTGTTTGGAACGACATGAGGGTGAGTAAATGATGGCAGGGTTCAAGATGATTTTTTGACACCTCACCTGGAGCGCCTGCAGTGATTTTGATAGTGGTAGCTTTGACAGTCGGGACAGCAGTTGTTGTGTCTGCTTTTCCTCCACTCAGACCGAGAAGCAGTTTGTCCAGCTCCGACTGGGACTGCAGTGAGATCCAGGACCGCACGACCGTGTCATTTTCAAATGTTTTCAGATCCTGCAAATTGTTACCAAGAAGACCCACGATGTCCGACACACTGAGGCTCTGTAACATAAAACAAGTGGACGTTGTGATGAGGTGTATACATGAGTGATGAAAACAGAGGAAGAAATGACCAAACACAAAATGCTTTTCTTTGCTCACCGAGATCACGTTTGCATCCAGATTTCTGAAAGTGGACAGGCTCATGCTGATATTATATGTTGTCAGATTCTTAATGTAACCTAGATCTGCACCACCTACAAAAAAACAACAATAAAAGCTTAAAGTGAACTAATTGTTTGTCAATGTGTGTGCACACCAGAGCTGGTATTTTAAAAGTGGCATGACGATACGTCAAGGTGGGATTCGGTGGGATTAAATTGACAATTAAGGGGCTCCCTTACCAAGATAGGGTTCAATCAACTGGAAAACTAACAGAATGTCATTCTGAACTCTCTTTGTAGCTGTTATGGGAAATGCTTTGTTAGCAATGGTGAAGAGGGCGTTCTTGTTGCCAGATGAACATTTAGACACAGCCAAAGCATCGGCCTGCCTGTTATTGAGGATAATACAGATACATCTTGTGATTAATGCAATACAGATATATATGTATTGTCAGGAAATATATATATTCACTCACAATACCATTCAAAAGTTTGGGGTTCTGCAAGGATGCATTAAAGGGGTCATATAATGGTACATGCACTTTTACAAGTTGATTGTACTGAAATGTGTGTTGGCAGTGCCTGTACACAAACATCATAAAATGATAAAAATCCATCCAGTGGTTTTGTTTTAATCTCCTTATATGTTTTCCCCTGCCTCAAATCAAGCCGTTCGTTTTTGTGACGTCAATAAAACGGACGCCCCTCCCACGACTGTTGATTGACGGGAGCGTTTCAACACAGACCCGCCCTCGCACATGAGGTAGCTGTCAATCATAGTCTGCGCGGCGCGGCGCGGACCGGACCGGCGCGGTCATTGTTGATATGCTGGAGCACTGTCTATGAGCAGAATGGCGTCTAAGCGATTGTGGTGTTCTGTTCTTGGGTGTAATAACGAACACAGCAGTCATTTTTAATGTTCCTGAATCCGAACCGCTGAAGACGCAGTGGCTGAGTTTGTTTTCGAAGGGAATATTCCACACGAGCAACGTCAATGCTTTCATGTTTGCGCGAATCATTTCACACACCAGACTGCTTTATAAACGAGGGTCAGTATAAAGCTGGATTTGCTAAGAAGCTTTGCTAAAAAGGATCGGTACCAGCTATTCGTGTTCCTGCTGAACCTCCAGAAGAACGGAAGTGAGTGAAACGTTTTATTAAACTTTATATTAATATATTAATCTTTGCAAATCGCTAGCTGCACGCTTCACAATGAATGCGTCTAAGGTTTACACTCAGGGTACATTACGGCATGTTTTCTATGTACGACGTTCTCAATATAATTCATAATCCCACGTTTATACTGAACAACGCGTTATGGTTATTGTGTTATTGTGTTACAAACGGTGTACACAGAACAGAGGGGCGGAGTGAGCGCAGCTCATGATCATTTAAAGTCATATACACTGAAACGGCGTGCTGAAAACAGAGCTGTTTTTGACCAGGTAAAATAACTGTTTTCTTACAATACTAATGAGAATTTTTAATTAAAGTATATTACAAACTTTTAATTTAGACCCTAAATAATCATATTAGCTTGTACAAAAATGGCATTATATGACCCCTTTAAATTCATCAAAAGTGACAGTAAAGACATTTTTAATGTTATAATAGATGTCTATTGTGAAGAAATGCCTTTTTTTTCCAATCTGTATTCACCAAACAATCCTGAAAAATGTAACATGGTTTCCACAAAAATATTAATCAGCTGTTATCAACAGTTTTCTACATTGATGATAATAATAAATGTGTCTTGAGCAGCAAATCAATATATAAGAGAATGATTTCTGAAGGATCATGTGACACTGAAGACTGGAGTAGTGATGCTGAAAATTCAGCTTTGCATCACAGGAATAAATTACATTTAAAAATTTTAAAACAGTTATTTTGAAATAATATTTCACAATATTGCTGTCATATTGCTATATTTTGATAAAATAATTACCATGATGAGCATAAGAGACTTCTTTTAAAAACATGAAGAAATCGAACAGACGTTACAGACCCCAAACTTTAAAAATAAATAGCATGTGTGTGTGTGTGTGTATATAAAGCACCAATAATAAACCTTTAAGAGTACTACATCAGGTTTAAGTCTTTACCGTATGCTTTCAGGCAATATTGTTGACAATGTGCTGGCATTCAGAGAGCAGAGATTTGGTCCTTTCACTACATTCAGCTCAGTGGAAGTCAGATTATTGTTAGCGCTTAGATATTTGGTAATGATTTGTTTGCTCTGAAAGATAAATGAATATTTGATCACAAAACCAAATAGTTGGCATCTGTAAAAGAGGTAAGATTCATCAGAAAACTCGTGTCAAAATTTGCACCTGTGCAGAGGACCATTCGCCATCGTTGGCATTCATAAGGGCAGCCAGTGTGTCAACTTTAGTGATGTTCCATTTGCTTATTTCATCCAATGTTGCGTTCCTGGACACTAACTTCAGCACCTGGACCTGATCCTCTGAAAGGCCATTTGACGATATCTGATGGACAAGAGCAACACATCTACATTAAAACTGTCCTGGATATCCTGGATGATTTGATCAGATCTTAATATATGACATATTACCTCATTGAGTTTGTCCAGAATGATTCTCTGGAAGGCGCTAATCTCAATCTTTTCACACAGGCTAGCGAGGTTGTCCCTCACTACAGTAGCATCCAGACAGTTTCTGAACTGCGACTCATCATATCCAAAGGGGAAGGCGTCATCGCTGATGATAGTACTAGAGATGTTGCCCTTGGTACAGGCAACCGCTTGAAACACAAGTGAACAAATGATTTAGGAAATGCTGTGGTTAAATGTTACTCTATTATGGAAGCTTGTTTCCACCACGGATTAAAAAATAAAAAAGTTAATTGTGCCATTTTATGTCACTATTTTGACTTTTTTTTCCCGCAATTGTGAGTTTATATCTTACAATGTCAGAACAGTGAGATACAAACTCGCAATTGCAAGAAAAAAGTCATAATTGTTGTGAGATAAAAAGTCACAATTACCTTTTTATTTTTTATTCCTTCAGGGAAACAAGCTTCCATACTCTATCCACCACCTTATTTTAAACATAAGAGTGGGCGCCATTTGTAAATTAAACTTGAATCAAATGCAAACTGGTGTTTGTTATAATTTTATTTTAACTTATTATTGCAATCATAAACTGGTTTCAATCACAAATCATGTAACCAATTACAATAGTGTGTAGCGCAAATAGTTTTACTGTTTACTGCACTTTGTTATTCTTCTAGTTATTTACCTACAGCATCTTATAAATCTGAAATATTGCACATTTACAGGAAATAGATTACTTTCACATTGAAAAACAAGGAGGATATGGACTTGTGTTTATCGAGCAATATCACACTCGCAATTGTCCTGAAGTGCTGAATATCATTTCCATCAGATTCAGTATTCAGGACAACATTATTTAATTGTAAAAAAAATCTGAGATAAAGATGGCATACCCGCTCTCTTGGCTCTTACAGGTAGAATGATTGCTTGAAACAGCCTTTTCATTTGAGGTTTTGGTGTGTTTCGTACACGCACGAATTTAAAGAAGGTTTTGAAGAACTTGCTCAAATCATTCTGTTTAAAACAAGAGGGACATTTAAAATATTACAGGTTTAGTCAGTGTTTACTGAAATCTGGTGTAGTTTACTTTGAAACTGTTTTCACTCAGAAATTGCTAGTAAAATTCACCAATAATTCACCAAGGTAACATTGAATTAAATGTAAACTTTTGACTAAACTGTGTATTTTCTGTGTTTTATTTAACAAATGTAATTTTACAGTGAAGCTCAACTGTGTATGATTTTCATATGTAATGTACCTGTGCGAATGATCCCCAAAATCCTTGGGAGAAGTACAAGGGCAGAATTCCCAGATCACTAAGCGTTTTCTGATTCCAACTGGTTGAATTTCTAAATAATACAATCATAATCAGACAACCAGACAATCATAACCAGTGCACTTTTTTACTAATTAATAGAATCAGGACTGAAAAAATATATTCTCTGCATAATGATGATAAGTTGACAACAAATCCTTTAATATCAAGATAACTTGCCCATATTTTGAGGTTCCCTTATTAAGAACAGCTTCCATTGCTGATATTTGCAGATTTGAGAGATCATTGCAGTTCTTCAAGTTCTCAAGGATTTCTGGGTCTGAATTTGTAATGAATTCAGGGTTCGCAGCACAAACCAAGTTGCCCAGCACTGCCAAATCCTGTTTCTGGATGCTTTTTCCTGTAATGCCCTGAATTGAATAATATATAGAATATTATATATTAAATAATATGTACAATAAAAATATTAAATCATAATATCTACACAATCGGCCATTGTCGGGCCGTCGTTGAGCTAATTTTTTGGAATTCGGAACAGCGCTGGTGGCTTTTCGGCTGATTGAGCATTTTGAATTTGACTACTGCCATCTGCTGGTATGGAGAGTTGTTTACTCTCAACATGCTAGTCGAGTGTGTTCAAGCACAACATTTTGGCCTAGATGCAGGCGACACCAGTCAGGTTTCGTCATTGCTAGTTCTCTGATGTCAGTTTGGTGTGTCTGGGCCTTAAATAATCAATATCATGATATGGATGATACTTACAAAGCAATCTAAAGCATTTCTCCACAAGATGTCCCTTCTTCCACTCAGTGTGCTTGAAAAGATTGAGAGATCTGCTGCTCCGACCTCAGCAAAATATGCCTTGCAGAAGCTTTTGTTGATTGTTTCATAACTGAGGAGGACAACAGACAACTTTAACAGAATACTTAATTGAAAGATTTCTGAGCATTAATAAAATGACAGATAGACCTTACTTGTAGTACAGCAACATATCAGGAGGGTAGTTGGTAAAATCCACAATCGATTCATCTCTAATACGGTTGTACATGCAAGTAAGCTAGGAAAACAATTAGCAACAAATCATGTCAATTTGTTCACGTTTTGACATTAAGCTCAAGTGAACACATTTTTGAATAGCGTTTTTGTCAGCTCTCACCTGAGTCTCGCTCAGTACCACCTTAGGTCTGTTTGCTCTCCGTCGACAGGCGTTGATCAGGCCTCTGGTTTTACCTTGGGAGTATTTCTGTATACGGGAGCATGTAAATCCTTGCAAAACGTCCACTGACAGGCTGTAGAAAACAGTCATGCATTAGCCATCGTTACTTTCAATGCATACTCATAATGTATTTTTGCATAAAGCAGTTCAAAGATCCTTACTCATCAGGTTTTTCAAAAGCATCCACAACAGTATCAAAGAACAGAACTGCCTATAAATAAAAATATGCCATTAGCAGAAAAATAATCTACATGTAAAAACTATATAATGGATGTTTTTATTTTTGTAAGTTAGAGTACCTGTTCAGGTTTCCATTTTTTATTGTTAAACTTTCTCACAACTGTTGCATCTAAAGTGGAGGGAATATTCACAAAGTTTCTTGGAATCTGAACAGCCATGTCATCGGGAATGTTTGCCATTAGTTCAGCTGGCGTCGAATTCACTTGGAGTATCTAGAGATAGAAAAGACGTAAAAGTCCCAACTTTATATGGTTTGCACTCGAAATGTCTCTAAATACGCATGAACGTTGTTAACATACCTTGGTCACAAAGGTATTCTGAACAATATATGGGGCACTCAGTATGTTTTTTACAAATTCAATGTTTTTAGATGTTTTAAGAATTTCTTCCGGCGGAATTGATGTCAGTTCTGTTGAAGGGATCCCGCCAATCAGGGATCCAATATTCAGCAAGCTGCTGGAACTGTTGAACTGCAGAAAGTACAAAAAGTCATTTCTTTTGTTGGATTTTGAGGTTCTGCTGAAGAGGTAATTTCAACAACTTTTAAGGGAAGTTTCTTCCATTGGAGACTTAAATATTACCTTGAATGATCCACTGAGAAGCACTTTTATGATTGCCTGGGCTTGTCCAAAGCTCCATCCAGACACATTGCTCAGTGTTGAGAGCCCACTGAGAAGAACCGATGGAGGTGCTGAGTTCAATTGTACAGTTGTTAAGCCAACGACTTCATTTCCCAAGTTGCTAATAGCACTAGCATCTATGGTTTTAATGTTTCCCGCAAGGGCTGTAGATATCTGGAGAAGTGTATAAGGAATATCAGCCAGTTACAACACAGTTACATGAAGAAATGACTTGACTTTAGGTTTTAATGGAATACTTACTGCAGGATCCACATTGGAGCAAGACGACTTAAAGTTTAAAAGAATAGTATTAGTTTGACTCTCGTTTAGTGCTGTAAAGGTTGATACTGGGGCATCGCACTGCAAAACTGAAGGCAAGCTAGAGCATAGAGAACATAGTTAATGCTTTGACAACTGAACTCGGAGAAAGCTCTGAGATTTTGATCTGGTCTCAGTTCAAACTTACTCAAACAAACTAAAGCTGGGGTTTTGCAGAAAGACGAGTTCAGTGTAGCGGCTGAGCACATTCTTTGGAAGTGTCTTTTGATTGAACAGTTTTAAGTTTTCAGGGTTCACAGTGAAGGTTTTTATCTGCAAACAACAAAATGGGACAGGAATGAGCAATATGTATTAATTCGCTTTCACCAGTATAATGTCACACAAAACATGGTCTGATGATAAATCAAGTATTGATGGTCTATCAATGTGAACAAGTGGGTATAGTTCATACCGTCCTCTCAGAACCGAAAGAGTAGAGATCGTCCAGACTCAGAAAAGTTATAAATATACCAATGTGGTTTACAAACCACGCCGTTGAGTTTAGTGTTGCGTCAGATGGTTTGTAGCATTTTGGATCAGTGTCTGAAATGTAATAAATATAAGAAAATTAACATTTTGGCATTTTTTTTAAATTATATACATATTGTTAAATATTATTACAACTGAAAATGTTATTAAAGCCTAATTCACCTGCTTTCAGATAGGTCTTAATGGTGGTGTACACATCTGTACTGGAAATCTGAGAACCATTAAAGGTGAAATTGTTGCCTAAAACATTGACCCTAGAAGAACAGAGAAAGCACTTTAAAAGTTACAAAAGACTTTGCATTTAAACTTCCGAGCAAACAGATTTGACTGTAGGCATTTGCACTAACATTTTCCTGTATGACAGGCAAGATGCATTCAGTGTGTCTTTTGACCCCAGTATATCTTTGTTCAGGAACTTCAAGTAGAGCCTCAATCTACGGTTAAACCACAAATCAATCTCCGTCTGATTGTCACTTGTCAGTGCCAGAGGCCAGACACAGGGAAGAATGGCGCTTTTAAGATTATCTGGAACATCTTCCTGCAAAAACAATAAAGAAAGCAATTACAACGATGAACTGAAATATTTTTATATGTAAGTGTCCCTACATAAAATGTGTTTTGTACATTGTCTTGTGTGCAAATAAAGCAAAACTCACGGTGTCCAAGAACTCAGGGGTTCTGACAAAGTTGTTAAAGATGACACAGATTTGTGAATCATTGTTCATCACTTCCAGCTGTCTGAGGTAGGTTCCCAGCTCAGAAGGAGATACAGAGTTTACGAGCTGAAATACATGAATAACACACCAGTTACAGTTACATCATCTACATTGAGCAGCAGAACTGTAGAGTTGATATGGAGCGTACCTCAGATTTCCGAGGTTGTGGTATCAGAGAGAGGAATGTGGTCAGATTTGGAAGCGGCCCAAAGCCGAACAGGCTTTCGTTTAGGAACGTGATAAAGCTGTTGTTTCTGTAGCACCTCAGAGGCTGTGGCCCTGCAAGGAAAAAAGAAAAAAAAAACATAAAATGTTGTATCTTATCCAATGTTAAGTGAATAAAACAAGATACTGATCAAATAAATAATTTCTAAATATAAATTTATTAAAGTATAACATTTATTATATTTATAAAAAATTACTAAGTTGATTATTTTTTGGTTTATTTTTTGAGTTGTATCATCACACAGGGATGAAGGAATTTATTTCAATGAATTCTTTTATGTGATGTTTAATGAAGAAATACCTCTGAAGGACTGAAGAATGCTGTTGTAGATCGCATTTTTGGTATTTGTGGGTATTGAAGATTCTAAGTTTAACAGCCTCAGTCTGTAAATTGAAAATAAACAGTGTATAATGTCTTCTCTCAACATGTTCCAATGTATACTCACATAAATGCAATGTACAGATCCAAAAATGTCGTTTAAGTCCTTTGTTCTTACGCGGATTGAGTGATATTGCAGTCTCTTGTGCTGAGGATGGTAAAAAACGGAGACACAACGCTTTCTGAAAGGTTGGCTAACAGAGGTTTTAGTCTATTCTGGAACCAGACTAGAACTTCCTGATTAGTGACATTTAGATTAGACAGGTTGGCTCTGTCAAATATCTGTTTTATCAGTGCTGCATTTACATCTTGCGTGAGTCGGACGTCCTGGACAGGAGACAATAATATCATTGCACCATTAGCATAGTTACTCTATATATATATTTTTTTTTAAAGTTTTATTAGCATGAACATTGTTTTCACACCTTCACTTTCTGGGAAAGGTCGTCAAAGAAAGCAGAGAGCTGGCAATCCTTAACAAGCTCCATGACATTGATGACACTTGGAGGATCTTTAAGCGCACCAGGTGTGACTGAAAACTCAACTAGTTGTCTTAGACTCAAAAGAGGTAGAACATCCACCTAAATTGACAAACAAATTGACTGTCACAATGATTGTTGTTTTTTTACCATAAGATATTTTGCATAAATTGCAACATTTAACACTCACCGCTGTGAAGTTTCTGTTCAGTTCCCCAAGGTCCGTTAGGGGAGCTGACTGAACGAACGGCCCAAAGTTTCTGTTGATCCACTGCGTACTGTTGGTGGAATTTCTAAGGCACCTGGGATCTGAAAGAGCCACAAGACCATTTTTTATTGTGATTCATTTTATTAGTTTAATGTGAAACCAAAATTTGTAAGTTGTCTGGTGTGAGTGGTGATATTTGGCATCGGCACTTGATCTTTTAAATGGGGCATGACACATTAATTGCACAAATTATTTCATATTGTGAACGTTTGCATACTTTTATGCTGAATTAAAAGAGGGTTAAAATATTCCAAACCAACCATCAGTGTCATTGCGCGAGAGGAAAGCTTTCACGAACTCTTTGTAGATCAGATCCTGTCTTTGAGTGGCATTAGGTTGCGGTGGAAAGCAAACGTCTTGTCCATCTCGTAGAGGAGCATTCACAAAAGCCTCAGTGCTGAAAGATAACAATCACCGTATTTCATTTTTTATCTTAGTGTCTGAAAATTACATTGTCACTTTATACAATGTAACTATGACCAACTTACATTGTGCGGTAACTTTCACAGGTGAGGTTTTTGTTGCTGAGACAGGACAGGACTCTTTGAGATACTGATGGTAAGAAGGGCTTTAGTCGCCCCTGAAACCATGAGCGAATGAAGACAGGATCTCTCAGTCTCTGAGGACTAAAGCGATCGACCCGGACTTCAACAAGCACATCCAGAACATCAGACAAAGACACATTGCTGGGACTCGGAGTCTGGAAAATAAACATATTTTATAAATTACATTAAAAGCAAGGGTTTGCATGACTTGGTTTTATCTTGTTTAAAATTAATTCAGACTTTTATTTGTCGTTTTTTTGGCAACTTTATTTTAATATTTTATATTCACACTGCATTTCAGAAGTCCTGGGGTCAGTAAAATTTTCTTAATTTTTTTTTACTTTTATTCAGCAAAGACAAAAGTGGAAGTAAATACATTATGATTTTACAAAATATTTCTGTCAAATGAATGCTAATTAATCACGGTTTCCACAAAAAAAATTAAGCAGCACATCTGTTTTCAACATTTATAATAAGAAGAAATATCTCTTAAGCATAAAATCAGCATATTAGAATGATTTCTGAAGGATCATGTGACACTGAAGACGAGTAATAGTGATGAGAATAATGGTGAGCAGAAAATACTTCTTTCCAAAACATTATAAAAACTTCCTGGCCTCAAGAATTTGTCCAGTAGTGTGATATAAAAAAAATAGGCTTCTTACCATGTTGGAAAATTTTAGCAGTGCATCATCAAGGTTTGTGCTGGTTTTGGTGAAGAAAAGCTTCCAGGTCTCTTTTCCCACATTGCTGGGCTGTTTGCAAGCCAACACGTCGGCCACTTGTTGAGAGTTCAACTGTGACAACTGATGACACAAATAAGCTTTTATTAAAACTAAATCAATGACTAAAAAACCTAAGTGTTTTTCTTTTGTGTAATATTACCGTTGGTAGACAGGCAAACTGCAACACAGTGAAGTTGCAAAGATTCAGTGGGCCTGTTGCATTTGGAGCCGCTACTTTCAAGAACTGATCCAAAGCAGAGCTGCAAACCAGAAGAACATGCAACATGTATTACAGACCATTGTGTCCTCAGTGCTTTAACTCATTTGAGTGCAGACAGGAAAGCTCACCTGTTGACACTTGCACAGAGGGAAGACTCTGGAAAAGGACAAGACAACAAAGACTTTAAGTTTTAGAAACATCACTGACATCTCAAATCAAGTAGGATATAATCAGTCCCTTACCATTTACAGGAGTTGTTGTGCACTGCAAGAGTGAGAACAAATGTTGCATTACAATTGTTTTTTCATTGAAACGTAAAAACAGACACAATCTACTGAACATGAAATGTATCTTTTTGTTCATCATTACTTACTTGACTCGCTCTCTCAATGCACTCTGGAGGGAAATAAAACACAATTCACACTTTAATGCAGGCAGAATTTTGCACTCAGTTATTTTGATGTGATCAACGTATTGAGGAGCAAGTGTTATTGTTCGATTCTGCCTCACCATCGGGAGGAATCATCATCACTGAGTCTCTGATCGTCAGCAGGGCTTCAGACTGGTTAGAAGGGACTGATGATAATGTTTGATCCATCTGGTCAAAGCTGATTCACAGAGAAAAGACAAAAAAAACATGATCTTATTCAATACTAATACATCCAGATCACTATTTGTTTTGGTTTTTAAAAGCCACTTACAAGATTTTGTAGTTTTCACAACGGAAGTTTGTCTGCAAAAGAGAAAACATTACATTGTTGGACAGGAACAAAATGGATAATAAAGTCGATACATAAACAAACAACAACATCAATAATAGTAATAATAATTTTGTTTTAAATATTTTAAACAATATTATTAAAAACATTAACAATAACTATTGTTGTTGTTTTAAAATGATATTCATTATTATTAATTTTACAATGTTTTTAAAAAGTAATACATAATAATTATTATTAAATGAAGTATTTCTACACAAGTTACATCTAAATTGTGGCATTATGCACCTTTCTGGCCTGAGCCTGAAGAGAGGGGATGAAGTTGTTTAGTTTGTCTCTATTAGGGGCTTGAAGAAGGAAGGCAAAGACTCTTGTGAGGATGTTCGTTCGGTCTGCTGGTGAAGCAGGAGGAGGACTAAACACCAGTTCATCCAGTTGCACCGGTGTGAGAACAGGAAGCACTTCCACCTGCAAATGACATGAGACACAAACTTCACTGACACACATTTACAAAGCTTTTATATATGTGTTCAGCCAGTCTTTACTCGAATCATCACTAACAGCAAAAACCTTTGACTCACAGCTGAAAAATTGCGGCTCAATTTTGAAATAACTTGAAGCTGTGCAAACTGAAAGAAACTGCCAAAGTTTTGCAGGATGAAGTCCAAACTGTTGTTAAATGGCAACGTGCAATCGACACCTGAAACGACAACATGAAATACTTTGTTCATTTCTGGTCATTTATATGTCCTGTAAAGTATTAAATTAAATTATGAAGAGTCTAACAATACTCTTAATGTGTCTGTTAAATTGAATGACAAATAACATCTACTTGTGTTTTGACGTTGTGACAGGAAAGGAACAATGAAGTCGCTGAGGACCCATCTCTGTGTTGCATTGTTCATCAGTCCAGAATTATTATTTAGCTCCACAAAACTGCAGAAATAAAACAGTTAGAGATGTAAGAGGATAGCGATTACAAAAGTATTTTTGACAAGCAGATTAATCAGGGGCATCACTAGATCCTTTTTACAAGTCCCAGTGAAATACTGCGGTGCCACAGTAAAATATTATGTCAATGGAAATTACCAGTCGACGGTCACTGATCTGAGAATAATTTTCATTGATACAATTATGCCATGTGTGTTTTCCATCAGTTGTTTATAATGAGTACTAGTGTTGCCAAATTTGCAAATTAATGAAATTGTCACTTTATACAATGTAACTATGATCAACTTACATTGTGCGGTAACTTTCACAGGTGAGGTTTTTGTTGCTGAGACAGGACAGGACTCTTTGAGATACTGATGGTAAGAAGGGCTTTAGTCGCCCCTGAAACCATGAGCGAACGAAGACAGGATCTCTCAGTCTCTGAGGACTAAAGCGATCGACCCGGACTTCAACAAGCACATCCAGAACATCAGACAAAGACACATTGCTGGGACTCGGAGTCTGGAAAATAAACATATTTTATAAATTACATTAAAAGCAAGGGTTTGCATGACTTGGTTTTATCTTGTTTAAAATTAATTCAGACTTTTATTTGTCGTTTTTTTGGCAACTTTATTTTAATATTTTATATTCACACTGCATTTCAGAAGTCCTGGGGTCAGTAAAATTTTCTTAATTATTTTTTTTTTTTACTATTATTCAGCAAAGACAAAAGTGGAAGTAAATACATTATGATTTTACAAAATATTTCTGTCAAAAGAATGCTAATTAATCACGGTTTCCACAAAAAAAATTAAGCAGCACATCTGTTTTCAACATTAATAATAATAAGAAATATCTCTTAAGCATAAAATCAGCATATTAGAATGATTTCTGAAGGATCATGTGACACTGAAGACGAGTAATAGTGATGAGAATAATGGTGAGCAGAAAATACTTCTTTCCAAAACATTATAAAAACTTCCTGGCCTCAAGAATTTGTCCAGTAGTGTGATATAAAAAAATAGGCTTCTTACCATGTTGGAAAATTTTAGCAGTGCATCATCAAGGTTTGTGCTGGTTTTGGTGAAGAAAAGCTTCCAGGTCTCTTTTCCCACCTTGCTGGGCTGTTTGCAAGCCAACACGTCGGCCACTTGTTGAGAGTTCAACTGTGACAACTGATGACACAAATAAGCTTTTATTAAAACTAAATCAATGACTAAAAAACCTAAGTGTTTTTCTTTTGTGTAATATTACCGTTGGTAGACAGGCAAACTGCAACACAGTGAAGTTGCAAAGATTCAGTGGGCCTGTTGCATTTGGAGCCGCTACTTTCAAGAACTGATCCAAAGCAGAGCTGCAAACCAGAAGAACATGCAACATGTATTACAGACCATTGTGTCCTCAGTGCTTTAACTCATTTGAGTGCAGACAGGAAAGCTCACCTGTTGACACTTGCACAGAGGGAAGACTCTGGAAAAGGACAAGACAACAAAGACTTTAAGTTTTAGAAACATCACTGACATCTCAAATCAAGTAGGATATAATCAGTCCCTTACCATTTACAGGAGTTGTTGTGCACTGCAAGAGTGAGAACAAATGTTGCATTACAATTGTTTTTTCATTGAAACGTAAAAACAGACACAATCTACTGAACATGAAATGTATCTTTTTGTTCATCATTACTTACTTGACTCGCTCTCTCAATGCACTCTGGAGGGAAATAAAACACAATTCACACTTTAATGCAGGCAGAATTTTGCACTCAGTTATTTTGATGTGATCAACGTATTGAGGAGCAAGTGTTATTGTTCGATTCTGCCTCACCATCGGGAGGAATCATCATCACTGAGTCTCTGATCGTCAGCAGGGCTTCAGACTGGTTAGAAGGGACTGATGATAATGTTTGATCCATCTGGTCAAAGCTGATTCACAGAGAAAAGACAAAAAAAATGTGATCTTATTCAATACTAATACATCCAGATCACTATTTGTTTTGGTTTTTAAAAGCCACTTACAAGATTTTGTAGTTTTCACAACTGAAGTTTGCCTGCAAAAGAGACAGAAGGGAAAACATTACATTGTTGGACAGGAACAAAATGGATAATAAAGTTGATACATAAACAAACAACAACATCAATAATAGTAATAATAATTTTGTTTTAAATATTTTAAACAATATTATTAAAAACATTAACAATAACTATTGTTGTTGTTTTAAAACTATATTTATTATTATTATTAATTTTACAATGTTTTTAAAAAGTAATACATAATAATTATTATTATCATTATTATTAAATGAAGTATTTCTACACAGGTTACATCTAAATTGTGGCATTATGCACCTTTCTGGCCTGAGCCTGAAGAGAGGGGATGAAGTTGTTTAGTTTGTCTCTATTAGGGGCTTGAAGAAGGAAGGCAAAGACTCTTGTGAGGATGTTCGTTCGGTCTGCTGGTGAAGCAGGAGGAGGACTAAACACCAGTTCATCCAGTTGCACCGGTGTGAGAACAGGAAGCACTTCCACCTGCAAATGACATGAGACACAAACTTCACTGACACACATTTACAAAGCTTTTATATATGTGTTCAGCCAGTCTTTACTCGAATCATCACTAACAGCAAAAACCTTTGACTCACAGCTGAAAAATTGCGGCTCAATTTTGAAATAACTTGAAGCTGTGCAAACTGAAAGAAACTGCCAAAGTTTTGCAGGATGAAGTCCAAACTGTTGTTAAATGGCAACGTGCAATCGACACCTGAAACGACAACATGAAATACTTTGTTAATTTCTGGTCATTTATATGTCCTGTAAAGTATTAAATTAAATTATGAAGAGTCTAACAATACTCTTAATGTGTCTGTTAAATTGAATGACAAATAACATCTACTTGTGTTTTGACGTTGTGACAGGAAAGGAACAATGAAGTCGCTGAGGACCCATCTCTGTGTTGCATTGTTCATCAGTCCAGAATTATTATTTAGCTCCACCAAACTGCAGAAATAAAACAGTCAGAGATGTAAGAGGATAGCGATTACAAAAGTATTTTTGACAACCACATTACTCAGGGGCATCACTAAGGGGCATCACTAGATCCTTTTTTTACAAGTCCCAGTGAAATACTGCGGTGCCACAGTAAAATATTATGTCAATGGAAATTACCAGTCGACGGTCACTGATCTGAGAATAATTTTCATTGATACAATTATGCCATGTGTGTTTTCCATCAGTTGTTTATAATGAGTACTAGTGTTGCCAGATTTGCAAATTAATGAAATTGTCACTTTATACAATGTAACTATGACCAACTTACATTGTGCGGTAACTTTCACAGGTGAGGTTTTTGTTGCTGAGACAGGACAGGACTCTTTGAGATACTGATGGTAAGAAGGGCTTTAGTCGCCCCTGAAACCATGAGCGAATGAAGACAGGATCTCTCAGTCTCTGAGGACTAAAGCGATCGACCCGGACTTCAACAAGCACATCCAGAACATCAGACAAAGACACATTGCTGGGACTCGGAGTCTGGAAAATAAACATATTTTATAAATTACATTAAAAGCAAGGGTTTGCATGACTTGGTTTTATCTTGTTTAAAATTAATTCAGACTTTTATTTGTCGTTTTTTTGGCAACTTTATTTTAATATTTTATATTCACACTGCATTTCAGAAGTCCTGGGGTCAGTAAAATTTTCTTAATTTTTTTTTTTTTTTTTTTACTTTTATTCAGCAAAGACAAAAGTGTAAGTAAATACATTATGATTTTACAAAATATTTCTGTCAAAAGAATGCTAATTAATCACGGTTTCCACAAAAAAAATTAAGCAGCACATCTGTTTTCAACATTTATAATAAGAAGAAATATCTCTTAAGCATAAAATCAGCATATTAGAATGATTTCTGAAGGATCATGTGACACTGAAGACGAGTAATAGTGATGAGAATAATGGTGAGCAGAAAATACTTCTTTCCAAAACATTATAAAAACTTCCTGGCCTCAAGAATTTGTCCAGTAGTGTGATATAAAAAATAGGCTTCTTACCATGTTGGAAAATTTTAGCAGTGCATCATCAAGGTTTGTGCTGGTTTTGGTGAAGAAAAGCTTCCAGGTCTCTTTTCCCACATTGCTGGGCTGTTTGCAAGCCAACACGTCGGCCACTTGTTGAGAGTTCAACTGTGACAACTGATGACACAAATAAGCTTTTATTAAAACTAAATCAATGACTAAAAAACCTAAGTGTTTTTCTTTTGTGTAATATTACCGTTGGTAGACAGGCAAACTGCAACACAGTGAAGTTGCAAAGATTCAGTGGGCCTGTTGCATTTGGAGCCGCTACTTTCAAGAACTGATCCAAAGCAGAGCTGCAAACCAGAAGAACATGCAACATGTATTACAGACCATTGTGTCCTCAGTGCTTTAACTCATTTGAGTGCAGACAGGAAAGCTCACCTGTTGACACTTGCACAGAGGGAAGACTCTGGAAAAGGACAAGACAACAAAGACTTTAAGTTTTAGAAACATCACTGACATCTCAAATCAAGTAGGATATAATCAGTCCCTTACCATTTACAGGAGTTGTTGTGCACTGCAAGAGTGAGAACAAATGTTGCATTACAATTGTTTTTTCATTGAAACGTAAAAACAGACACAATCTACTGAACATGAAATGTATCTTTTTGTTCATCATTACTTACTTGACTCGCTCTCTCAATGCACTCTGGAGGGAAATAAAACACAATTCACACTTTAATGCAGGCAGAATTTTGCACTCAGTTATTTTGATGTGATCAACGTATTGAGGAGCAAGTGTTATTGTTCGATTCTGCCTCACCATCGGGAGGAATCATCATCACTGAGTCTCTGATCGTCAGCAGGGCTTCAGACTGGTTAGAAGGGACTGATGATAATGTCTGATCCATCTGGTCAAAGCTGATTCACAGAGAAAAGACAAAAAAAATGTGATCTTATTCAATACTAATACATCCAGATCACTATTTGTTTTGGTTTTTAAAAGCCACTTACAAGATTTTGTAGTTTTCACAACTGAAGTTTGCCTGCAAAAGAGACAGAAGGGAAAACATTACATTGTTGGACAGGAACAAAATGGATAATAAAGTCGATACATAAACAAACAACAACATCAATAATAGTAATAATAATTTTGTTTTAAATATTTTAAACAATATTATTAAAAACATTAACAATAACTATTGTTGTTGTTTTAAAACGATATTTATTATTATTATTAATTTTACAATGTTTTTAAAAAGTAATACATAATAATTATTATTATCATTATTATTAAATGAAGTATTTCTACACAGGTTACATCTAAATTGTGGCATTATGCACCTTTCTGGCCTGAGCCTGAAGAGAGGGGATGAAGTTGTTTAGTTTGTCTCTGTTAGGGGCTTGAAGAAGGAAGGCAAAGACTCTTGTGAGGATGTTCGTTCGGTCTGCTGGTGAAGCAGGAGGAGGACTAAACACCAGTTCATCCAGTTGCACCGGTGTGAGAACAGGAAGCACTTCCACCTGCAAATGACATGAGACACAAACTTCACTGACACACATTTACAAAGCTTTTATATATGTGTTCAGCCAGTCTTTACTCGAATCATCACTAACAGCAAAAACCTTTGACTCACAGCTGAAAAATTGCGGCTCAATTTTGAAATAACTTGAAGCTGTGCAAACTGAAAGAAACTGCCAAAGTTTTGCAGGATGAAGTCCAAACTGTTGTTAAATGGCAACGTGCAATCGACACCTGAAACGACAACATGAAATACTTTGTTCATTTCTGGTCATTTATATGTCCTGTAAAGTATTAAATTAAATTATGAAGAGTCTAACAATACTCTTAATGTGTCTGTTAAATTGAATGACAAATAACATCTACTTGTGTTTTGACGTTGTGACAGGAAAGGAACAATGAAGTCGCTGAGGACCCATCTCTGTGTTGCATTGTTCATCAGTCCAGAATTATTATTTAGCTCCACCAAACTGCAGAAATAAAACAGTTAGAGATGTAAGAGGATAGCGATTACAAAAGTATTTTTGAAAAGCAGATTACTCAGGGGCATCACTAGATCCTTTTTACAAGTCCCAGTGAAATACACAGTAAAATATTATGTCAATGGAAATTATCGTTCACTGACCTGAGAATAATTTTCATTGATACAATTATGCCATGTGTGTTTTCCATCAGCTGTTTATAATGAGTACTAGTGTTGCCAGATTTGCAAATTAATGAAATCGTGATTCAATTTGATTTACTCAGACAGTTCACTCACAAACTGAATCAGTTTTAGCCACACCAAAATAGTAACAATATATTTTAGAAGGCAGCGAACAAACAGGACCTTGTTTGTAATAGGTTAATTTAATAATAATTTCTATTGTCATTATTGCTATTATCTTTTTTATTTTATTTTTATTCGTTTTTTTATTTTTAATTTTGGTTTCTGGATCCGCGTACAACCAGAAAGTTAATTCAATCTCAAGCAGGATGTGAGTGTTAACTTATCGTCTGGTTTTTGATAAGATAATGAACAGTTTTCAGATATCAGCTGAAGGGAATGTGAGGAACATACAGCGCATTGTAGGCCTGACAGCTGAAGCTACGGGTGGCGAGGCAAGACAGGAATTCTCTTGACATTTTGGGCAGCAGAGGCTTCATCTTGATTTGGAACCAGAATCTCATGAACTCCACATCAACAAGATTTCCAGATGTGAAGCTTTCAGCTGGAAGTTCTGCAAACAAGGCTGTGAGGTTGCTCTGAGATGAGTTTTTTACCTAAATCAAAAAGAAACGTCTTGTCAAAAAAAGGCAGTCCTTTGAATATAACACACACACACACAAAATGTTTCCCTCATTTTTATTTGTATCCTTACGGATTGCTCCATCTGTGTCTGCAGTGGGCTGGAGAGTTCAGTGATCAGAAGTCGCAGGTTTTCCTCAGTGAAGTTCAAATTTGATTGAGCAACACAATTAATCGCTTTCGCCAGACTCTCTCCAGTCTGCGATATCTGCAAATGACCAGAAAGTAGCTTTATACCAAAACTGCAGTCAGTTGATATCTGGGCTGTAAATCAGTTTGAGATATTTTCATATTGTAGTAGGTGTTCCAGTGTTTGTACATGCGAACAAAACAACATTGTGTGGTGGTTTTATTTTTCACATTCTTTAGATGTGTGACATTGTTGGACCTGATCAGGGTGTGGTTAACTATGCATAAGAATGAAAACTTGAGGTTTATGAAAGACTCACAAGACAGGAACTATTATTGCTGGTGACTTTACAAATGTCGATAGGATCTGCAGTTTGAGGTTCTGGAGCACTGAAAAATGTATAAAGAGCACAGCATTAGTTAAAACAAATCAGATATGATGTGAGGAACATATGTTTCTAATTGTAGTGCATGTACTAGTGGCAATCCTATACACACCGCAATCCTTTTCTTAATTAGTAACTTAGTTTTGTTTTCCAGTAAATGTTTGTCTTGTTTCCCAAATATTAAATAATTCTAAATAGTAAAATAGTAAGACTTGTTATCAGAGAATATATTTATATTAAATGCAGTTTGCTGAGGGCCAAAAGCTAGCTTTAATTCCAGATTTTCTGAAAACAGTTCTCTTAGCATATTGTACAATTTTCCTTGTGAAATGTATTTATCACGTTTGAATAAGATTTTCTATTTGTTTTAATGGAAAAAAGACAAAAATACTGATTAAAAAGACTTTTTGCGCTTTGTTTGCATCCTTTAAGGAGGTCAAAAATGTTCTGCAATCATTTAACATTTTTACCTCCTGTTTCTTCTGAGTGCTCTAATTTTATAATGCAGACAGAAGTGCTACTCACAAAACAAAGTTGGATATTGTTGCGAGATCGTTAGGTAAAGTCTGGTTAGTTTGCAGATATTTCTTCATCACAGGAATAACCACAATCTGGAACCATTCACTGACGTTGCTGATGTTAAAAGTACTTATTGGGGTTTGGTTGGTGTCAAAGCTCAGGGTCCAGTTCACCAGAAGATTTGTTGCATTTCTGATACTGTTTATATCTGTCTGAAAGAGAACAAACCCAGAAAATCTGTCGAACAGGCTTATGCATATTAAGGTAATTAAGTTAAAGGCATCTTTAAAATGTGATGCTCCTGGCACAAGAAAAACTAAGAGAGGCAATTAATAGGATTGGGGTATAATTGTATGTAAATAAAATAAACATTATACTGACTCTAAAGCCACCTTTTTTAACGTCTATTCCTTGTTTTCATCTGCCACAATAATGTAATTTCTTTGAATTATTCATTTGGGAGTATTTAATAGCTTTATACATTTGATTCATCATTCTGCATTTCAAACTATGTTAAAAAAATGTAAGGACTGACATCCCGGCCTAAATAGGCCTATTATACTATTTTATATCACACACACACACACACACACACACACACACACACACACACACACACACACACTTACTTTCTGAGCAATGGTCACACATGATCTGATGAATCTTCCCAGTGGTCTCAAATATACCTGGAAGTCTGTGAGGTTCTGCACACAGATGTGACAAGAATTAGCATCATCTTCTTCATTCATGTTTCATCACTGGACTTCATCATCATATACAAAACTCTTATCTAACCTTGATCAATCCAACTGAAGTGGCACTGGTAATGTTAAGTGTTATGTTCGTGAGCGGCTGTAGGAAACTCTGGAAGATCTTATTGATGGCATCAATATTTAGACTAGCAGTTGCCATCAACTGAAAGATCAGCTCAGCTTTCTGCTCTGGACTGAGTTTATCTAGGACATCCAGCTGCAAAGAAACACAAAGATTCAAACGAATGACCTCGACAGTAAAGGCCCGTTCACACTTCACACCGAGAACAATAACTATAAAGACGACTATATTAGCTTCCACACCAAAGGGCGATAACATTCATTTGTTCGAAACGTCTTGTCGCCTGCCTCTTAGACATCGCCTGAGGTGAAAATCACGTTTTTAATGTTGTCTATATGTCTATGTGGTGATTTTAATATGGTTTAAGACAAACCATGTTCACATGCATAAGTCAATACCATTGCTGAGTATTTTCTCCTTAAAACTGCAGTGAACCAGAGTCTCAAAAACGCGGTTTGAAGTCGTCAGTGTTCTCTACGTCACAAAATCTGTTGTAACCGGTCTGACGTTGAAGAGAGCGATACATAACGTATTACCATTCTGATACATCGACTTGTGTAGACGACCCTGTATAATTCTCTCTTCTTCCTCCTCTTCTTCTATTTCTGACTAAACTTCTTTAAGTTATTGACTACGGGGGACTGTAGAATGCGCGAGCTCGTTTATCCAGGGATTCTGATTCAGCCTGTTTTTCTCGTTCCTCAGCTGGAAAAATTTGTTTTTGTGAAAGTGATTCTAAATATATATTCTACCACTATGCCGTTATAGTGGTGGTGTGGACTGGACTAGTCTTTTGAATATTTTTAAAACTATATATTTACCGTTATAATTGTCGTCCTTGGAGTGAACAGGCTTAATGCTAGGATTCAACTGCTCGCTTTGATCTACTTACCCCATTAAAGTCCGTTTTCAGAGCTGTGAAATCTGCCAGGCTTGCGCTAGCAGAGAATGTTTGGAAGTTCTGCATAAACCATTCACTGGTGCCGTTTGCACTTTTCACACATCCAGCTTTAAAAGAAACTCAAAGTCAGCTAACTCATAGCCAGTTAAAAAGCTCATAGTCTTTTAACTGTAGTAGCCTACGTGACATCTAAAATATATTATTGCAGAAAATACAGTACCGTCAGATGTATTTCTTGCCAGAAAAGGTTTTATGAAGTTCTGATACACCATCCTTTGTCTTTCAGTACCGATTTGCAAGCTTAGATCCTGTACCCTGTAAAATGTAAATTAAGTTGATTGTCTCCAACAACAAACAGCTAGAATATCTCAGAATATTTATAGCAAGATTTATGGGATATAGGCTACACACAGTGCATGGAAGCTCTGGCAGGTTAGGCTGCTTTGACTCAGGCAGGACAGAGTCTCTCTGGACAGAGATGACAGGTATGGACTGAGCTTCACTTGGAACCAGAGCCTTGCAAACCCCACATCACTCAGTGCTCCCACTATTGTCTCATTGGACCTGGCATTATTGATGGAGCTCACCACAAGACTAACGTCAAGTCTAGATCTCTGTTTGGATGATTAAAAAGGCACTGGATAGGTGACTTTATTTTAACGAGCTGTAAATATGTTTGAAATATGTTGATATTTAGATTTACTGTACCAGCAATGTGTACAAATCAAAGGTAGAGTCAGCAAATGCTTTGAGATTTTTGAGATTCCCCTGCGATACGTCTGAAAGTGGGCCTATCCCTGAACAGGTGAGGATGTTGTTGAGTGTTAAATTTGAGAACTGAAAGAGGAATGGGGAAACAAATGATGAATGATTCACATAATATGGAAACCTAATATTGCCCACATCATATTGCATCAAAAGATAAAAACTCACTGAAGCGCATGAACCAGTATTAGAAACTGTGCCTGTAAAAAAAAAAAAAAAAAAAACATATGAAAGGGGGAAAAGAGTTGACTGGAATATTCAGTTTTGTGGGAAACAAATATTCAAAACGCACCATCTTGAAAGTCCACCACACACTGAAGAAACAGAAAAAAAAATCAAATCCATAAAACTGTTGTTAATCGTAAATTAATCATCATCACAATCAAGCAAGTTTTCTTTCTATCAAAGTTAGTGTGCAAGAACACTCATTTATTTCAATCAAGCAAAACTTGGAAAATGATTGAATAAATAATTTCCAAGGATACAATTGTAATTATTCTAACATTTAACAAGCAGCATCCACAAAATAATGTTGCGCAGAAAGTGCTAAATACCTCTCCATTTATCAGTGTGACGAATCCTATAAAAGAGAAAGTGTGACTCGTGAACAGTGTCTCTTTAGAGAAATATATATAAAAAAAATTGTGATTAATTAGATCAATAAAAAAACAGCTCCTCTTACCTAAAGCAAACAGCACAGAAAGCTGAAAGTTTGCCATTTTCACACCGACACCCCTGATCTTAAACAAATAGAATGCAACAATGACATTATTTCAAACACACTGAACTTGCATGTGATGAATAATTATCTTCTTCTTTATTCTAAATATATATAATAATAATTATAAATTAATATAAATATTAATTTATATATATAATATATCAAATATAATATATATTTTTTAAAAACAGGAATGTGAGGAGGACAAGCACTTACCTGTAACAGGAGTATCTGTGTGTGTGTGTGACAGTCAGCAGCCCTGCAGGTCCACTATTAACTGAGGTATCAGAAGGGTGTGGTCCTGTTTACCCACGTCAGCAAATACAAAACAAGACCAACAACTGGCTACTTCTCGAAAATGGCAAAACAAGATGCATGATTACATTCCTTTGCTATCAAAAAAATAATCAAGTCTTCTTTCAATTTTAACTGAGATTCATCAATTATATACAGCATATATTTTTTTAGAAGAGCAACGTTTTCTTTTTCTTTGGAAATTAATCAGACCCCATTTAATCGGCGTCTTTAACTATACGTGTACTAATGTTCAAATGAATAAAATGCACTTATGTGTACATGTTTTTTACACTGTACTTATATTGCTTAATTACAGCTGTAATTTCTGTAATTAGGTCTATTATTACACTGTTGACACTTCTGTTATTTACATGATGGATACAGTGCTCATGTCAGTTAAATTTTTGATGCATTAAAATGCTGGGTTGTTTTAACCCATGTTTGTGTTCAATATGGACAAACGGAACCGTTTGTTTAAATTAACCTAGATATTTGACCCAAACATGGGCTGAAACAACCCAGCATTTTTACAGTGTAACATTTACTAACAATGAGCAATACATACACTCCCCTAAAGGATTATAGGAACACCTGTTCAATTTCTCATTAATGCAATTATCTAATCAACCTATCACATGGCAGTTGCTTCAATGCATTCAGGGGTGTGGTCCTGGTCAAGACAATCTCCTGAACTCCAAACTGAATGTCAGAATGGGAAAGAAAGGTGATTTAAGCAATTTTGAGCGTGGCATGGTTGTTGGTGCCAGACGGGCCGGTCTGAGTATTTCACAATCTGCTCACTTACTGGGATTTTCACGCACAACCATTTCTAGGGTTTACAAAGAATGGTGTGAAAAGGGAAAAACATCCAGTATGCAGCAGTCCTGTGGGCGAAAATGCCTTGTTGATGCTAGAGGTCAGAGGAGAAGGGGCCGACTGATTCAAGCTGATAGAAGAGCAACTTTGACTGAAATAACCACTCGTTACAACCGAGGTATGCAGCAAAGCATTTGTGAAGCCACAACACGCACAACCTTGAGGCGGATGGGCTACAACACCAGAAGACCCCACCGGGTACCACTCATCTCCACTACAAATAGGAAAAAGAGGCTACAATTTGCAAGAGCTCACCAAAATTGGACAGTTGAAGACTGGAAAAATTTTGCCTGGTCTGATGAGTCTCTATTTATGTTGAGACATTCAGATGGTAGAGTCAGAATTTGGCATAAACCGAATGAGAACATGGATCCATCATGCCTTGTTACCACTGTGCAGGCTGGTGGTGGTGGTGTAATGGTGTGGGGGATGTTTTCTTGGCACACTTTAGGCCCCTTAGTGCCAATTGGGCATCATTTAAATGCCACGGCCTACCTGAGCATTGTTTCTGACCATGTCCATCCCTTTATGGCCACCATGTACCCATCCTCTGATGGCTACTTCCAGCAGGATAATGCACCATGTCACAAAGCTCGAATCATTTCAAATTGGTTTCTTGAACATGACAATGAGTTCACTGTACTAAAATGGCCCCCACAGTCACCAGATCTCAACCCAATAGAGCATCTTTGGGATGTGGTGGAACGGGAGCTTCGTACCCTGGATGTGCATCCCACAAATCTCCATCAACTGCAAGATGCTATCCTATCAATATGGGCCAACATTTCTAAAGAATGCTTTCAGCACCTTGTTGAATCAATGCCACGTAGAATTAACGCAGTTATGAAGGTGAAAGGGGGTCAAACACAGTATTAGTATGGTGTTCCTAATAATCCTTTAGGTGAGTGTATATAACAGAATTTATACATTTTTGTTAATGTTAATTAATAAAAAATAAAATGTTCATTGTTAGTTCAAATTACACCAGGACCATACCATAATAATACCAACAGACTTTTGATTATATGAATGTATGAGAAAATGTTGAAATTAGCATGGATTGAGATTAAGCATTTTTCCTTCTTAGTTCATGTTAACTAATGCAACCTTGGTGTAAAGTTTTACCAATAAAATAAACATAAACATACCATTCTGGTTTGGACATTGCCGAAAGAATTGTGAATGTTTCGCTAGACCCTTCAGTTTAAAACATTAATAATCTATTTAAAACATTGATGTAATTTGAGGCCTTTTGATGTCATCTACTTCAACACGAATATTCTTAACAGGTCAATCCTAGATATTTACAGTAGCTAATAAAACAACTGAACCCTGCTTTGCATCAGTAGTACTGTATAAACGTGCATAATTACATTAAGTGCTCTATTAAATGTGTATTTGAAAGCAATTTTAATTGGACACTTATAGACACAATAGTATCTGGATGTATTCCAATGAGGCAGGAACATTTACTGTACAACAACTGTCAATTACCAGACTAAACCAGTTTAGATTGTCAAACCTGCTTTCAGCTGCAACCCACTTCAACTTGTAGACTTATACAATAGTTAAACTGTTGCCTTTATAACCCAGTGGAGGAGAAGTGTTGATGATGTCTTCGTTGAAATGTCTGGCATTGTTGTTTTTACTACATCCTCTTGAACAAGATTACAACTGAGAACATTGCTTTGGTTTTGGAATGTTGTCCCAGGATTAACAGTTGTACTTGGTGAAATGATGTCGATCAAACATGGACTACATAAATGACAGCAGTGTAACAAACTAGTGTGAAAATATCAGTGAAACTATTAAACAAGCAAGAAACAATTTTATTCAAACTCTCTCTGTGATTGCCAAGGGGCAAGCAGTCTTACTTTTTGTCATAAAATTAGACCAATGTAACTGATTTCAAAAAGTTATGAACAGTCTTAAAGAAAAAAACATTTGATGACTAGCTTGTACTATTCTTAGTAGTTTATGCAACCAGCCCCTGGTTTCACAGACAGGGCGTAGAGTAAACCAGGATGGGCCTTAGTTCAAATAGGACATTGAGCTTTTAATAAACGTGCCTTAGAAGAAAACAAAAAAACATTGGTGTTCATCTTGAGACAAAACAATGGCTCTGACATATTTTAAGATTGGCCAGTGCAGATTGCTTCAGTTAAAAGAAGTCTGGGAATAGGCGGAAGCCTTGTCTGTCATAAAAAGTAAAAAGTCCTAAATACATTTTCCAGATTCTTTCAACTCAATACATGTGCACCTGTGCAGAAACACTCGTTGTCAGAGTGACAAACAAAATCAGTAATTATAGGTAACATCAAACCACCAAATCATCTTAGAAATGCCAGGAATCACTGCTGCATTGAGTGTCAGTGACCCTGATTAAAGAAAATGATACCATACACGCGGAACATTAACACGAAGACATTGAGAAAAAGAAACTAACTTCTAGAAACTTTACAAACCTGCTTATCAGTTGACGGAAACTCAGTATTCATGTTTCTTAGGGGTGAGCGGGGTACAAACTAACGCAGGGATATAACATACATGGTTTTAAACTTTCCACACATGCTATAGCATGACAAAACCTATTAGTTGCCATATCAAGACTATAGAGAAAAAATGGTCAAAATTAAAACAAATCTTCAAAAGATATCACTGAACATTTATTTCATTTTTCATTTTTCATCTCTGTTTTCTGTTTATTTAAAATTAGACAAACCTGATATTATGTAAATTTTATTTATTAGGATAAACCCCTTGAGATGCATCATCTCGTTTTCAAGGGGGTCCTAAAATACATCACAGCCATCACAAGAGAACAATAATACAATAAACAAAAGTACAATTATACATATTTGACAAACAAATACATACAGAACCACAGACACAAATCCACACAAAGAACAAGAACAAGAAAAAAAAAGAGATTTTTTTTTTTTTTTTTTAATCTTATACTGTATCTTTTTTTTAACAGTTTAAATGGTTATTTAATGCTTATCTAAGCAGCAGAAGACACTTTAAATCCCAGTTGTGCAGGTGGGGCATGTTCTGCGGAATCTCAGTACTTAAGTAAAAGTACAAATAACCAGAGACATATTTACTTTAGTAAAAGTAGAAGTACCACAATGACAACCCTACTTAAGTAAAAAGTAAAAAGTACCTGATTTTAAATGTACTTTAAGTATTAAAAGTAAAAGTACTTGCATAACAATTTATTCTCTTAATGTCTATATTCTAATGATTAATAAAACAGTTAATCCTAACTCATTCAACCTAATACTCATATAATGATGTTCAATATGATGGAAAAGCAGTTATATTTTAAGTTTTTGTCACCATTTCTGAACAAGCTTGCAATTAGGCAATATACACATCAAGCTTACTATATAGGGCTACCCTTATTATATACGGTGTATATATATATATATATATATATATATATATATATATATATAAACACACATATGTTAAAACGCCGTATATGACGGCGTTTGGCTGTAAACGCGATTCATTTATGGCGTAATTATGAACCTCTTGGCTTGCCATACTAATCCTAACCAAACGTATAATACACACGCACCCCACATCACTACTAAACCTACCAATGCGTTTCCTATGCATGTAAAAACTAATTTTCGCGTATAAATTGCACGATAAACACACTGCGTGCTATAGAGACCTTTCTTTTACTGTCTATGATAGAGACGCATTTAGTGTGACCGGGTTGATATATCTATGGCAACCAAACTTCACTGGTGAGACAGAAACGTGCGATGAACGGACAGTCAGGATGACGTTTTGGCAGGGGAAAACTGATCAGAAAATGTAACGAAAATGTATCAG